AACTGTTTCCTAGAATATTACAGAAGAAACTCTCTTAGTCGGATTTGGAATTGTGGTCCTATTTTTATATTGTTTGAAGGATGATTTTTCTTTTAATGTCAGATGAATGGCTTGTTAAAATTACATTATGTGAAAATATTTCTTAAAGGTCATACATATTTATGCAATTCAGGAATGCTTTCTGGTAGTGAAATGTAATAAACCAGGGATATGAAGGGAAAAGTGATGATGTTTGAAAAGAAGTATAAGTTGAACTAAAGCTAATGACTTTTCGTTTACTTTTTTTCTGTTTGGGAACAGTCGTTGATCCATGTGATATTTAAGTAGAAACTTAATGGATAATGTATGGGAGGAAGACTACACCTTTAGGCTTATTTAGTGTAGGGACTGTGTCTAATCTCCCTGTGATTATCACAGTGTAGACCCTTGATAAAGTCTTACTGAACTACTAATGAATTTGACTAAGAGTTGGAGATATAAATTCCATTCCTGACTCTGCCATGTGTTTTGTTTTGTTTTTAAGATTTTATTTATTTATTTGACAGAGAGCTAGTGAGAGCAGGAACACAAGCAGGGGGAGTGGGAGAGAGGGAGGTAGGCTTCCCACCGAGCAGGGAGCCCGATGTGGGGCTCGATCCCTGGACCCTGGGATCACGACCTGAGCCGAAGGCAGACGCCTAAGGACTGAGCCACCCAGGCGCCCCATCTGCCACGTATTTCTGTGTGCCTTATGTATACTCAATTTCTTGAATATTTTTACAAGGGAAATAGGGTATTTTGGGCTATAAAATCACTTGTTTTTAGGCTTCTCAGGGAAAAATGTCTTAATTCACCATCAAATTCTCATTTTCAGCACCTGTCTCTCCGTAGGCTCATTCTCATCAGCATGTATTCATGCCTGTGTCTATCCCATCTCTCTCTCTCTCTCTCGCTCCCTCTGAACACACACACATAAAAAACAGAATACAATGTTAACAGATACTGTCAATACCTTGCCTGTAGATACTTCCCCTAGTGGCATTAGTGCACAGGCCTGACTCACAGTATCAGACCTTGGATTCCTGTGCCTGATAGTTTTTTGGGGCCTCCAGAGGCCACTTTACCGCTCAGCATGGCAGGCTGGAAGTGGTGGGAAATTAAGGCTCCTCCCTCCCTCACCACTCAGCCCTCAACCAACCGTTTATTGGACACTTCCGTTGCTCATCTGCACTCATCTTTCCTGGAAACCCCTCAAAGTACACTATTTGCTTATCAGTTCTTATCTCAAGGTAGGCTTCTCGAGGAATGCAAGCTAGGACACAAAGGGAACTCTTGACCCGTCCTTCAACTACCACGCTATTTTTACTTCTTATTCTGGAGTAATTAAGCTGTCACGTTCATTCCTCATCCCCATTCTTACCAGGCAGTCTCCTCTCTCTAAAAATGCACAAGGATTTGCACATGGTATAGCGAATAGCAGTTTCAGATCTGAACTTGCTTCAATTATCAATTGATGATTGTCTCTCCTTTAGCCTCCTTCACCCCCCTGATCTATAACTATTAAGGATTTGATCTTACACAGTTGTGAGAGCTGGTTTAGTAGTCTCCAAAAAGTTATTTTCTTTGCAACTGAGGCTGATCTCACTGAGTCCTATCCTGACGTCCAACCCACAGAACTAATGAGCATAATAAATAACTGTTGTACACCTTTAAGTTTTTGAGTGGTCTATTACATAGCCAGAGTAACTGGAACACCTGTTTCTTTTGGGGTTACTTAAATATTTGTGTGTGTGTGTGTGTGTGTGTGTGTTATTCTAGAGAATATAATAGGTACCTGAGAAGTCTAGCTCTTGGTTAAAAACTTATGTGTGATTTTCCAGAACTGACTATAGGCAATTACAAAGGCTTTAGTTGGCAAGCATCGTGGTGGAATGCTGTCCTTCCAGCACCAGACTTGGGGTACAGCCAGTGCATGGCAATCTCTGGAAAAAGCTGGAAGCAAGGACTCAGGCCACTCGGTAGTTATTGGTCTCCCTAGTCACTAGTCACACGGGCCCATCATATTCTCATATTTGCCCTCCCTGCCCAGGAGCCCTCATTATGGCTCTATCAGACCTTTGCTCAAGGTCTGAAGTCTTCTCCAGGTATGTGTACTGAGGGGATGCTTGAATACACTTTCACTCTGACTCAGCAGCCAGTTCTTTTCTACTTCTAGCCTTTCCCCTCTCTCTGCTCTGACCTCAGAACTGCTGGACGCTTGTTTTGGGGCTCGCTCAACAGTGGACCCACCCCCACGTCTGGCTGACCTGCCGACTTCAGACCCTCAATCCTTGTCCTGACCAGGCACTTTCTCCCTCACAGTAAGTGATTAAAGGCTTGACTTTTGTTTTTGGCTTGCTGCTTTCATCAGCTACTCTGACACCTAAGCTGCTCAGCTTTCTCTGTCTCCCCGGGCTCAGCTGAGCTCCTAATAGTACCTTTAGGTTGTTATAGTCTGCCTGCAAATAATCTTGTGTTGCTTGAAAAATAGTAAGTAATGTAATAATCTTACAACAGTATAATTCTATTTGCTCCATACCCACATTTTTGTCATTATATTTCTAAACCCCACATTATTATTTTTATTTTAAAGTCTTTTAAATCCATTTAAATACACATATATGTGTGTATGCATATTAAAGATTTTTTTAAGATTTATTTATTTGAGAGAGAGAGCATAAGCAGGGGAAGGGGTGCCCTCTGTGTCTTCTAAAAAAAACAAAAACAAAAACAAAAAAACCCACAACAAAGTTCTTGTCTGATCATTCCACCCTCTTGGCTAGGTCTATGCCTCTTCCCTATGGCCTATTTGCTCTCGTCATGATTATGGGTCAATTTTCTTGATTCTGTTGTGTCCTGTAATTTTTAAAATCATACTCCAGATATTTCATATAAAAGAAATGACTAAGTAATATTTACCTCAAGAAAAGAGCAAAGCCTTACTCTGTCAGAAAGTTAGAATTAAGGGCTGAACCAATCTGACCTGTGATTGAGCTGGGTCTGAGCTTTGTTGCAGCTTTGTCTGATTCAGTGCACCCCTGCCTTCAAATATTTTTGGGTATGGGATTCTTCTCACCAGAAGAAACTGGGTCTAAGCATTGCTGAACTTCTGGAGATATTTTTGTTTTTTTATGGCCATGTTGCTAGCTTTTCTCACTGTAGGGTATTTCTCTCTGATTCATAATTCTTCTAGAAAGAGGGTCACTAAGAAAATTTCTTTGCTCTGAAGTCCCACTCCTGGCTTTCTGAGCTTGGGGAAATCTATTTGGCTGTTCTCCCCATCCTTTGGAAGTTAGCTGCTTTGCTTTATACAAAGACCTGCAATGCCTCAGACAGATTTCTCAGCTCATGTCTCTGCTCTCATTCTTTGATGTATTGTTCTAGAGCACATGGCCAAATCCTTAAGAGTTGGCACTTGGAGAAGGACCCTGGCTGGAGTTTCTCAGAATTCTAATCTATCAAACCAGCCCGTACACATCCATTAAAATTGCATTAAATTTTCTGTTGATTTCTCCTTATTTTTCTTTATAGGGGATTCTTTTTTGCTGTTTTATCATAGAGGAAAGTCGCTTTGTAGAAGAGAAAGTTTCTGGGCGCCTGGGTGGCTCAGTTGGTTAAGCGACTGCCTTCGGCTCAGGTCATGATCCTGGAGTCCCGGGATCGAGTCCCTCATCAGGCTCCCTGCTCAGCAGGGAGTGTGTTTCTCCCTCTGACCCTCTTCCCTCTCTTGCTTTTTATCTCTCATTCTCTCTCTCTCAAATAAATAAATAAAATCTTTAAAAAAAAAGAGAGAGAAAGTTTCCTCTCTCCTAGGAGGAACCTATCACTCATGGAGTTTAATTCATTTAAATTCCTGGCAATCTAGTGAGTTTAAGAAAACAAAAATTTTTATTTTGTATTTATCCAGATAAGGTTAGGTTATTAGAATGGGAACAATGGTCATTTTTGTGGCTTTCTTCACAATAACCCAAAGGAGAAAGGCATTCCTTAATCTTCAAGAGGGAGATTGTGAAAAGCTTAGCAAATTTTTGTATACCTGAAGGGCTTGTCAGCATCTGGTTTTGCTTAGGACTGGGTAAGCCTAACTATGAAGCTGTGAGTATTTTTTCTTTAGGGAGTAATACATATGTCAGCCTACTTGTTCTCCCCAAAGAGTTTGTCCTCGTTCTTTTTGTCTGTGGATTTATGGAAACAACAAGACTTGTCTGTTTTTTATGCTCTGTTAGAGGTGAATTCTTAGATGCCAGGCATTCTGTTTGCAGGACTTGGGGAGGGGATTAGTAACGGAGTCCCCAGTTCCATATATGTAGATGTTTAACAAATCCCATTTTCTTTTTTTTTAGAAGATTTTATTTATTTTTTTATTAATTTATTTGAGAGTGTGAAAATGACTGCAAGCGGGGTGAGGAGCAGAGGCAGAGGGACAAGCAGGCTCCGTGCAGAGCAGGGAGCCTGATGCGGGGCTCGATCCCAGGACCCTAAGATCATGACCTGAACCAAAATAAAAAATCGGACACTTTAACCAACTGAGCCACCCCGGCACCCCAACAAACCCCATTTTCAGCTGCACATCTCACTCATATCCTCCGCTGCATCTAATTTTTCAAGGGCTCTGGATGGCCAATTGTGGTATCTTCCTTGGATGTGTTGATTCCATTCATGCATATTTAGCTGCTGCTTCCTCCATCCTGATTCATAATAACTACAAAACATATCTACTTGTTTTATGTCTTCTACAAATTTGCCAAAAGCTCTCAGGTATCTTGCACTTGAAGATTATATCAGGATATTTGCTAAATAACTAGAGAGTTAGAGCTGAATCCCAAGCAGCTGGTTTCTGGTCCAGTTTACCTTTCATTAACCTGATTATCACTGCCTTATTTTATTTTCCTATATATATATATAGTTTATATATATATTTTTTATATCCAGGTTTTACTGCAAACATTACTGAGGATCCTCTAAGGTGCCACATTGTAACAATGATTCAGCTGACAGCTACCCGTGCAAGCACACTTATTCATGAGCCAGTGCATATCCAAGCTACAGGTCTGCCTCCCTTTCAGATAGTGATTCTTCAGGCATCACTGAAAGATGAAAAGGGGAACCTGTTTCATTCTCAAGCTTACTATAAGGCCAATGAAGTTGGTGAGGTAGACCTGGAGCATGCCCCCTCACTGGGAGGTGTCTACATAGGAGTCCACCCTATGGGTCTCTTCTGGTCCCTGAAACCTGAAAATTTTTAACGAAATTGTTGAAAAGAGATGTGATGAATAGCCCCTTCCTGGTCCAAATAAAACTTTATGATTCAAATTTACTATTAACTGACATCGCCACCACCACTCCAAAAGTCAGCCTGACTTTGGAGAGGTGGTACATAGCACCTGGTATCAAACAGATCCAAGTTCAAGAAGGCCACCTTTGGGGATCCCTCCTGGTGAGTAGAATTAACTTGGTGACTTTCATCCTTGTGTTTCCTCTTTCGAGTGCCTAATCCTTCTAGAGGTTTAACTTGGATATGGATAGTACATAGTGTAGTCCTTTCCAGCCTTAGAATCAGGGCTAATTCTGGGTCAGAACAAGAATATGGTGAGGCCCATTCCAACTCAAGTTTGATCTCAACAATTCTGGAGCTTGTCTAAGGATATGACTAACATGTAGTTTATAGAGTCCCTGCATTATGGGGTTTCATAGCTTTGGATTTATGTGAAATCCATCTGTATTGAAGCCTATCTGAAGACCCACATCCTGATATCGTGGAACTGTGTCCCAGCTTCTTTTGGGAGTTCTGTCTTGTCTGAGTTTCAACTTAGATATAGGTCATTGCATGCAATAAGCTGATGATACAATGGACTGAAATACTGCAACAAATATAGAGGATACAAAGAGACTATATCCTCTAGTTTATATTTATATTCTATAAATATGAATATTCCATAAATCCACAGATAATATAACCTGCTCCCTAATGGCCATAAAACCTACTAGAAAAGTCAGTTTCCCACAGTGATCTCCACATATCAATAAGTGGTTCAAAACATCTACTGGTACATTTCTCAGGATTTATTGTGGGACCGAATGAAGCAAAGTTAATTTCCCAGAAGTAGTCCTCGACAGGTCCAGGTCTCAGGTGTGTCCGAGATCCCCTTCTTCAGGCATGAGCTTTGATCCGGGACACAGCCATCATATCATCAGGATGTACTGCGCCTCTCTCTGCTTTCAGAAACATAATCACTGTGTAGAAGTGAGATGGGTAAAGGAAGCCTGAAGTGTTAGAGGTGGTTCCTGACAGCAAGAGTTATAGATGATGTAGAAGGAATAAAAGATTTCCTTTCCAAAATCGTCATGACCCATGCAGTTGTTTGGATAAATCTCAATATTTTTACACCCCTAGCACACACATCACTGTGTGTAGGTATCAGGAGCTAAGTGGCACAAATGTCTGTCCACCTCGTTAAAAATCTATCGGTGCAGACCTCCCACCTTGGGATGATGTGCTGCATTAAAGGGTGCTATCTGTGAATCTTCTTGGACACTGCACGTGCTGTGTGTCCTGCTTGTTCTGTGGGGGATACAAAAGAGCTTTGAGCTGTGTGGGGCCAAAAGTGGTTGAGTCAGGTCTCAAAACAGTTCTCAACTACAACATTCTTCCATAATAAGAGGCTCAGCACTCTTAAGTCCTCCCTCTTCCTGTCAGTCAGGAGATGAAAAGCACCTTTATTCATTTATTGAAGTGGTCTTTTAAAGCCAAGATATATTTAGTATCATTTTATTTCTCCTTCTCTCAAGGTGAGAAAACATAGCAATGTTTTGTTTTGAAAATTCCCAATACTCCTTTAAATCAAATCACTCTTCTTTCTTCTTTCTTTTTTCTTTTTATTTTTAAGTAACCTCTTACTTACTTATCTCCTTAAGTAAGCAACATGGGGCTTCCACTCACAACCCCAAGATCAAGAGTCTCATGCTCTCCTGACTGAGCCAGCCAGGTGCCCCCATGGATGGGACCAGTTTTTCTTAGTTAAAATCACTTACCTGAGAATAGGGCGCCCCCAGTAAGTGCATCATAAATTTTTTTCTACTTTATTTAGGAAACTAGCTGCCTACACAGAGCATGAGTGTAGAATGATACTCTGACCATCCCTACTTTTTACAATGTGTTAAGCTGCAGTAATAAACAAATTGTTATTGCATGGAAGAACTCATCATTTACATCTGCTTGGCTGCAAAATTTCATCACTATATAGTCAGAGGAATGGAACAGAGCAGAGTTAAGTTGGGATTTTAGCTAAAATAGTTATTTCAATAGCTTTTTTTGAAGACATATACTTTTGAAGCCTTTTTTTTTTGAGTTATATATACTTTGAAAACCTAATTAAATCTGTAGAAGCTTTCATTAGTAAAATGCACACATAGGGACACTTGAGTGGCTCAGTTGGTTAAGCATCCTACTCTTGGTTTTGGCTCAGGTCATGATCTCAGGGTTGTAAGATTGAGCCCCATGTCAGGCTCTGTGCTGAGCGTGGAGCCTGCTTAAGATTCTCTCCCTTTCCCTCCACCCCTCCCTATGCCATCCCCACCCCAGATTGCACGCTCTCTCTCCTAAAAAAAAAAAAAAGAACATATAGACCTATATTTTGCATATCATTTCACGACCTTCATTGATTTCCTAAAGCCTAATTGTGTACCTTTTCATAGGTTAAAAAGCCCTTGCCTAATTTCAATGGCTTTCTTTACACCAATACTATAGAAATGAACTACTGTGAGTCCACAGGACCCCTTGGCTACAGAGATTAAACGTGTTCAGTGAATATGGTTCCCAATCAACCTTCCTGATATTATGTTCCATGAATGTATCCAATCAGCTTTAATTCTGCCCCAGATACAAGGCTGAAAACTTGGAGATTCTACTGAAAATTTATGCTTCGGGGTGCCTGGGTGGCTCAGTCGTTAAGCGTCTGCCTTCGGCTCAGGTCATGATCCCAGGGTCCTGGGATTGAGTCCCGCATCAGGCTCCCTGCTCCGCAGGAAGCCTGCTTCTCCCTCTCCCACTCCCCCTGCTTGTGTTCTCTCTCTCGCTGTGTCTCTCTCTGTCAAATAAATAGATAAAATCTTTAAAAAAAAAATTTATGCTTCAATTCCAGAATTTGTGATGCATTTCTTTGTGTTGTCATATTTCTCTTCTCTTTTCCTTCCTTTCCATTCATACCCAGTTCTGTTTTGTTTTGTTCTTTCTCAGGAGAGGGCCGTTTCCCAGGGGTAATTGACTTGTTTGGTGGTATTGGTGGACTGATTGAATTCCAGGCCAGTCTCCTGGCCAGTCATGGCTTTGTTGCCTTGGCCTTGGCTTACTTTAACTCTGAAGAATTGCCTTCCCAACCAGAAAAGACAGAATTAGAATATTTTGAGGAAGCTGTCAACTTTCTCCTGAGACATCCTAAGGTAATTTTTGCCTTTTATTTTATTTTTATTTTTATTTTTTTTTAAGATTTTATTTATTTATTTGACACACAGAGAGAGACAGCAAGAGCAGGAACACAAGCAGGGGGAGCGGGAGAGGGAGAAGCAGGCTTCCCGTTGAGGAGGGAGCCCGATGCGGGGCTCGATCCCAGGACCCTGGGATCATGACCCGAGCCGAAGGCAGATGCCTAACGACTGAGCCACCCAGGCGCCCCTTAAATAGCTATTTTTGATGCATATGATGGAGTTGTCTTTGAACTATCACATAGGTGATGTTATTGTGCTGAGTTTTCTGCTTGGCTTAGATAAGAAATGAGGAGGTTATGTGATGCTGCTGTTCGCTTTCTTAGCCTGGTTGCCCTTGTACTTGTTGCATGGCTTTTCCATCAGTGTTCTTACCAGTGTCGCTTAGATAGTCAATACCTAATGAGACCTGGAAACCAGATTTCTTTCCTAGGCTCTTAGTACTTGCACTAAGCCTGCTTCATGCTCTCTCTTCTGTGAGAGGAGAGACCACCCATTATTTCAATTCCTTATAGGCCTTATTTCTCCATCTGTTGATTTTAAGTGTCTTCTTTTTTTTTTTTTAATTTTATTTATTTATTTGAGAGAGAGAATGAGATAGAGAGAGAGCATGAGAGGGGAGAGGGTCAGAGGGAGCAGACTCCCCGCTGAGCAGGGAGCCCGACGCGGGGCTCGATCCCAGGACTCCAGGATCATGACCTGTGCCGAAGGCAGTCGCTCAACCGACTGAGCCACCCAGGCGCCCGATTTTAAGTGTCTTCTAAGCATTCTAAATTCCCTGATCCCAAATTTGGTGGCAGAAATTATAACAGGAGTTAGTGTTCTGCCAAAAGCCTGCACATAACTGAGTCACTTTTTTGTTGTTGTTGTTGTACATCCGTGTTATACTTCCTTTTACTTTATCTTCCCTGGCCACATCCATTCTGAGTTCTCACCTCTCATTGCCTAAACTATGACTCTATATCTTTTATATTAAGACATAGAACTTCAGAGCTTGAAAGGTCTTTTTAATTCAAAAGGAGATGATTGCAGTCACCTTCTTAATATACCAGGATAGGACCTCAGGTAGAATGTATTGGCCTTACAAAGAGGCTGAAAAAATATGTAGCAAAGGGGAATAGGTTCAGATCCATCAGAATTTATCCCCTGGGACTGGATACATGCCCCATAAAATAAAAAGAGAATGGCCTCTATCATTCTACACGATACAGCATACAATCAATGCCTTTCCTTCTTGTTTGCTCCCATTGTCTTGGTATAAAGATCCAAATTGTAGCCTATTTCCTCTGAGAATCTCTCTCTGATTCTGCCTTTATTCCCTGCTAATCTGGAGTGGCAGCCTGGCCTATGTGCATTCTTATATCACAGAATTTGTAAGCTACTCTAATTGTCTGGTTTTTTTTCCCCTCCTGTCTCTCCATCTGGCAGTGAGTTCCTTGATGATAAGAGATGATTTACCCCTTTCCTTCCTCTGTGTCCCCCAGTGGTTAGTACAGTGTGGATGATCTAAAAATGCTTGCTTGGGGGCACCTGGGTGGCTCAGTTGGTTAAGTGTCTGCCAGGGTCCTGGGATCCCAGGGTCCTGGGATTGAGCCCCGCATCGGGCTCTCTGCTCAGCAGGGGAGTCTGCTTCTCCCTCTCCCTCTGCCTGCTTCTCTGCCTGCTTGTTCTCTCTCTCTCTCTCTGTCAAATAAATAAATAAAATCTTAAAAAAAAAATTCTTGCTTGATGACTGATGGTGGAAGAGGAAGCAGAGCCAAGCCTCCTTTATGAAACCTTTCTCTAAAGGAGAAACCCTCCAGGGAAACCACAGCAGAGGTTTCTGCTCACATTTCCATGCTCTGTTCTACTAAACTCATTCTTTTTCTCAGTCTTTTCCTATAGAGTACCCTTTTCTCTGAACTTCTAGAGACCCCAGAATTGGTGCAACAGAGTTTACCGATCAACTGTACCCTGACTCATATTATTCACAAGAGTTACGTGCCTCTTTCTTATTTTTCCTACTACATTGGTATTTCTTTAGGGCATTTTAAACTCAGCACCTAACACCAGGCTGAATGCATAGTATTTAATTTGGAAGGAACCTGACATGTTCTTGAAGGAGTATTTCCTTTGAACATTCATTCTGTATTCCAGAACTCTAGAACTGGGCATGTGGGTGGGATTAGTCCTTGCTTGGCTCCCACTGGCCATTCAAGTTCTTTGGTTGTTTGAGATGGTAGGGTTTTGCTAAATGGTGGACAGAGTCAACATCTCATTTCCATTATTTTCAGGTCCTCCGCCCAGGCATTGGGATAGTTTCCATAAGCAAAGGTGCAGAGATTGGACTCTCCATGGCTATTCGCCTAAAACCAGTCAAAGCCACCGTGCTTATTAACGGGCCCAACTTCGTATTTAGCATTCCACAGGTATATTGTGGTCAGATAAGTCGGCCCTTGCCCTTCTCTCTACAATTGCTATCCATCGACACCTTAGGGTTAGCAGAGTTCCAGCACAGCTTTGAGGAAACTAGAAGTGAAGCCAGTGAGACTTCTCTTCCCATTGAAAAGGCCCAGGGACATTTCCTTTTCATTGTGGGAGAAGATGATAAGAATATCAACAGCAAAGCATATGCTAAGCAAGCCACAGAACAGCTGAGAAGATAAGGGAAGAACAACTCAACCCTGCTATCTTACCCTGGGGCAGGCCACCTCCTAGAGCCTCCCTATTCCCCACTATGCTGTGCCTCAAAGATCTCCAATCTCCACCTATTCATGCACTGGGGTGGAAGGGTGACCCCACACGCCGCTGCCCAGGAGCATTCTTGGAAGGAGATACAGAAGTTTCTCAGGAAGCACCTTGTTCCAGTTGTGACCAGTCAACTCTGAGAAGAGAAGATATCCTGAGAAACAGAGAAGCAATACCAGACCTTCACTTCATTTTCATGAACAATGTCTTTGATTTCTTATTGTGGGAGGTTATACTAAGAAAAAGCAGGAGGGTGACAGTGGTCATGTCTTGACTTTGGAAAGGGAAAATGGTTTCCATTTAATCCAATATCATACATGGAGAGTTTTACATTTTTTTAAAAATAAGTGTAGGGCTCTACCTGCCCTAAAATATTCTGGTTTATTATTATAACAATTGTTTGGTGGGAAAAAAAATGACCAAAATGAATGACAGAATCTCCTGGTTTGTAAAACAGATATGAGTAGAATCAGGTGCTGATATTTGTTGATTTCTTAAAACTCAAATGAAATATGTTTAAATTTCTCATATTTGGAAAATATGCTCATGGTTCATGGTTACTTCATTGTCATTGAAAAACTAGAGCTAGGTAAATGAATTTATTACTTTAAGGCAATATGGAAGTTGATACAGAGGTAACATGATTGAGTCAGCCTACAATCAATAATTCAACAAATGCTAATAAAAGAAAAGAAGGTAATATTTGTGTTGAAACGTACAGCATTTTGAGAAAGAATCTGAGATTCATAGAATTGCACTTTGGGAAGGAGCCATGATGGTGTGGTTTGTGTACCTTAGGGCCTGGCAGACTGTTTCTATAAAGTTCTACATAGCAAATATTTTCAGCCTTGTGGGCCGTGTGAAGTCTCTGTCACTGTTGTTGAGCGCTGCCATTCAAGCACAAAAGCAGTATAGATAGGCTGTAATGAATGATCGTGGCTTTGTTCCAATTAAACTTTATTTATGGACACTGACATTTGCATTTCATATAATTTTTACATGTCACAGAATAGTAATTTTCTTTTTATTTTTTTCTAAGCTTTGACCAATGTAAAAGCCATTTTCAGCTTATGGGCAGCAGAAAAACAGGCTGTTGGCTGGATTTAGCTCACAGGGCATAGTTTGATGACCCTGGGTGTAAACAGTCCAAATTACGTTGTCCAAGGTCAAATCTGACGCATTTTCTCTAAGGGGTAAGTCACAGCCCACATATTCCTGAGCTACTGAATTGCAATGGATGGAAGTGGAAGGTGAGTAGGAGATAATCAAGTGAAGATGAACCAGTAAAAAAGGGTTTTGAATGATTCCTTAGTTGTGGTGGGGAAGCCAGCGAGGAATGAGAGTAATAGAAGTAATATGAAGACACTTCATGGTACCTGCCTAAACTCTTTTTCTTTCATCTGCTTTCTGATGCTCCCTCTGTTTGGAGTAAAATCATTCCGTTCAGGATGAGTGAGGCTATTAGCCTCCCTCCTTTCTCACTAGACAAGTTTTCACATTTTCCAGACCCAGTCAATCAGACCACATCACTCCTTTGACTCTAATAATCATGTAACTGCAATGGCTAATACCACCTATGCTGTATGCTACATGGTAACTATGTGGGTTAGATGCTGTATCATTAGTTATATACGCCATATGCTATATAATAGCTATCATAGTGAGTTTAATGGGTATAATTATTTTTGTTTCCTGTTTTGGACTTTAGGAAGAATGCTTATGTTTATGAGATATGATGTTTGTGTTTGGTCTAATATATATCCCTTGATTTACATTTTGTGGATTTTCAGAACCAAGAAGGTTTTGAATTTTTTTTTCATATATTCTTTTCCATATCACTACTACAAAGGTTGGCAGGAATGCAGATCAAATAACCATTCTTGGCCAGCTTCTCTAACCTCTTGGAAATGTAAGCGGTCTGATCTCCAGGCATTGACCTCTTGTGTGCACTGATAAAGTATCTGCACCTGGTTAGCTAATAGTGTGTCCTCTCAGCGTGGTCCAGGCCAGCTGGCAAAACCACTCTCACCCTCTGCTTTTGGCCCACTTGGCTTTTATTGTCCTTGCAAATTCTAAGTGTGAGTTGTGTCTCCTATCAGGTCCCTGGTGGATGCATATACCCCATCTCCTCTGCTAAAGGGTCAACTCACACACAGCCACAGCAATCCCAGGGCAGACTTGCTGACCTTCAGCTCTCAGCTGCCTTCCATGCCCATCACCGTGAGAATCTGGGAGCTTGCTGAACTCTTTCACACACCAGGAGTGCAAAGGGAGACTTGCATGTGCTATCTCCTTCTGCCTAAACACACGATGTCCTGTTAACACTGTGCTTTTCAGAACCCCAAACAGGAAGCAGGAAAAAAGCTTCTGTGGACTTCAGTTTCTCATAATCCATTCCCACCTTGGTCAAGGCTCAGACCTTCTCTCTAGGCAGGGTTGCCTTTTTCTGAAGGACAAGCCCCAGGACATAGCCTTAATGTAATAAAGCTTCCAAGGAAGAATAAAGCAATTACCGAGAACATCACTGCTGTCAGGGAGGCATTAATAAAGATCATCCTTGCCTTATAAGAAATAGGTCAGGGGCGCCTGGGTGGCTCAGTCATTAAGTGTCTGCCTTCGGCTCAGGTCATGATCCCAGGGTCCTGGGATTGAGTCCCCACATTGGGAATCCCTGCTCAGCAGGAGGCCTGCTTCTCCCTCTCCCACTCTGCCTGCTTGTGTTCCCTCTCTCAGTGTCTCTCTCTGTCAAATAAGTAAATAAAATCTTAAAAAATAAACAGGTCAGAGTACACAGATATAGCTAAACTCATTATGAAACAATGACAAGCATGTTTTGGAGTACTGATTTTTGTCAGCCTTCTCATAGCTGAGTAATAGGGGTGCAGAGAAATTTTCACGATGAATTGATAGCAGGGCTGGAATCAGAACCCAGGGACTTAGACCTAAATTTTCTCTGTTACTCTGTGTTGAGATTTTCCCCCATGGCCTGTTAAACTCTATTCTCTGGAAATTTGAAATAAATTTGGGTCTATACATTAACACATTGTTTTGGTTGTTTTTAGCTTAGGAGAGCTAGAGACACTTCAAGTTCTATATTTACTCTGATTATGAAGAAATTTTTTAGGTTCTAATGATGACTAGGGACACTATTGGGTCTACCATTGAGAAGTCAGTTTTCCACTGATTGTTGCAGCTATGTGGAAGCTCAATGAAAGTACACCTGTAACTTTACCCCATTAGAGTAGTCTTCATTCCATAGTCACTAATTTTCACGCTTTTCTTCTTTCTCCTTTGAAGGAAACCAGAATATGTCACCCCAAAATATGCCTCTTTAACAAAAATTAGCAGTTAAAAAAAACAGCAGGTACAAGAAGGGCCCTCTGACCCTTCCTTTTTCCCTCCTGAAAGCAGGAGCTAAAACTCCCAGATGGAAGGTGTCCTCCCTATATCAGAAGGAAAGTAAACTGCCCACATAGTTTAGTTACTTTTCCACAATTGTCTCTGTCTTTGTTCAAGCTAATATAAAAGCGAGTATTTGCTTTTCTTTGGGTCTCATTCCTTATGAGGGCTCCTGTGCCACATAAAACTTGCATTAAATACTTTTGGGTGTTTTCACCTCTTAATCTGTCTTATGTCAGTTACATTCTCAGGCCCTATAAATATACCTAAAGGTATGTGTAGAAAGAGAGGGAGAGAGATTGATGGATTTTAAGGAATTGGCTTGTGTGATTGCAGGGGCTCAAATCTTCAGGGCAGGTCAGCAGGCTTTGGGGTCCCAGGGAAGAATTGATGTTGCAGTCGTGGGTCTGAGGGCAGACTGCAGGTAGATATCCTTCTACCCTAGAGGACCTCAGTCCTTTCTGCATGGTTCACGCCTGCTAGTGATAACTGCTAAGGTCTCTTCCCTACACGGTCATCACTTCACTGCCCGGTGTCCCCACTCCTCATTTGCTATAGCTCTTAGGGGCCCATGGACTGCTAGGTTCCCCAGCGTTTTCCATTCTGGGCAGCAGAGTGGAGAAGACCTGGCTCTGTGCCAGCCTGACCTGCTCCCTTTTGATTACCTGGGTGCTGGAGCCTCCTGACTTGTGTTCAGGAGGCTTTCCTGCACTGCTCTTAGAATCTTCATGAAGGGGCGCCTGGGTGGCTCAGTTGGTTAAGCGACTGCCTTTAACTCAGGTCATGATCCCAGGGTCCTGGGATCGAGCCCCGCATCGGGCTCCCTGCTCCGTGGGAAGCCTGCTTCTCCCTCTCCCAGTCACCCTGCTTGTGTTTCCTCTCTCGCTATCTCTCTCTGTCAATTAAATAAATAAATAAAATCTTAAAAAAAAACAACTTAAAAAACAAAAAAAGAATCTTCATGAAAATGACACTGAACCCACCCTGGGACCTGATCTTGGGAATTAGTCCCTCAGCTGGGAGCCTTGCTATCCTGCCAAGGTACCTCTCATCCACAGGGAGAGTTGTGTGCGGAGGCACCATTCTCTTTCCTTAGTACCTCCAACCTGCCCATGACTTCCAAGATCAGCCTCTTCCCTCAAGGCTTATATTTCACCTTCAATATATTTACATATCACTCCCATTTAAGAAGTCAGAAGCACAAGGAAAATTAAGCAATCTGCCTGAGGTCAGTCACATGGATAGTTGAGGAGTGCGGGTTCCAGTCTAGATCTCTCTGGTTCCAGAGACCCGTGGTCTCCCAGCTACACCTCACTGGCTGTAAAAGGTGCAAAAATGAAAAGACACAGTGCCCTCCCTCAAGCAAGTCACCACCAGGAGGCACAGTCTACAATCTGTAAATTTGATCATTTGTACATTTTTACAATGGACATCGGCTAAGGAGATTAACAGTGGGGCAGGCTTCAGAGGTTCTGCCCCCGGGGAGGCATTTTTTGCATTGGGAGGGCTTCTATTGTCCCTTGGAAGAGTGGTTCACAAACCCAGCTATGCCTTAGCAATCCCCTGCTGAACATACAGATCCCAGGACCTTACTCCAGTTGGAATCTCCAGGTGAGGGGGCCCAGGAAACTTGACTTAACGGGCCCCTGGGGTGAGTCTTCAGCCCACACTGCTCGGAGGCTAGATATCTGTCGACTTTCCTTGTTAAACACGATCAAAAAAGGCAGTTGCCTAAGAGAGC